ATCTTGATAGGATATGAGCTCCCTCTCATAGGATGGATCCAAACAAGTTCTTCCAATAACACAAAGACCACATCTATAAGAGGAACCTCAAGTAGTTTTTGTAGCAAGTCTTAAAAGAGGGGCGTCTGAAAAGGTTCTTGGTGGATGCTTTCCAAGATTGTCCATGGGATCCACATGGGGTCCACATGGGAATCATTTAGTTGGCATTGACGCTATCCTTGTGGGAGTTGCAGTTGAGGTGGATTTGGGTGAATGGCGTAAACTTATTTTGAATTCACACAACACTTAATATTTTTTACTAACGAAGACCTTCCTTCTAGTTGCAATATTTATAATGACATGATGGTGGTAGAGGTGTTGTTGAACTGATTCAAAGTTTATCACATCCTTGTAGACTCTTGGGAGTTCAATGGACATTCTCTTTCTTTATACCATGGATGGACTTGATGTTTGAACCTTTAGCCATGAAAATGTCTCTTATTGGGTTCTTATGAGAGTCTAAAACCCTAGAGGGGGCCATCTCCTTAATAGTGTTTTGGGTTGACAACCATTCCCACTAAATAAAGCTGCTGAATTTCACGAACTTTCGAACTCCATCATATAAAGCCATCTTTGCTTAACCTTTACTCAAGTCCTTCCGAGTTGTGGTCTCAACTTGCTACCTGATCATTATTTATCTGCTTCTTATCGATATTGATATGATCAAGAGGGGGCTAGTACAGTATAGGATGCACTACCTCAGTACTATCCGACCACCAACATGTGGTTTGCTGAATACAGTGATAGAGAGATTTGATAAGGTCATTAGCTAAATGAGGGAGCGACTTTTGTACCAACATATGCAAAAGATTCTATGTATACTTTTTAAATAAGCTCACTCTTAAGAGGTAATTATTTAATCGAGAATTCATTCTAGAAGCTTGAGAAGTGCCATACCAAGGAACCAATTGTTCCAGTAAGAAATAATGGAGGTGGGCATCATGAAATGTTTCCATAGATGTTGAAAGAACAATTTGCTTCTTCTCAAGTGATAGTCTTTTTGTAAGGAATTAAATAAAACATATTGTTGAAATAGCCCACGATGATCATATAGTTGAAATCATGTCGAGTCTCTCATAGTCCTTCCAAGAAGTCCATTAAGATTGACACTGAAGTGTGTAGATACTAGATAGGTATGAGAAGTGGCTTTTGGAATTCCATCTTTTAGTTTGATAGCTTCAAAATGCTATAAAAAGATATCCTCTCACGAAAATGGATACATAAATATTGTAGTTGATGAAAATAAAAATGAACCCTTCCTCTGAAATTTCTGTGGCTCACAAATAACACTAGTACATTTACCCACAAGTCTCACTTCACACAAATCACGCAGCACACTACTATCGATCACCTCTTTCTATAATTCTTTATGAATGATTCCGAACCACCGCCTGATACCAAAGTCCATAGTAGTTCAAAATGGCCCAATCCCCTAATACTCCAAACAATATGAAGATATTATCTCCTCTATTTTTTGGAGAAATTAATTTAAACTAAATCAATATTGAAATTATGCCAACCAAAGAAACTAACCTAAAGCTAGGAAATAACATGTAACCTTTCAACCCTTCTTAGCCATCATCATTGGCATGTCCTAAAAAAAGTAATAAAAAAGAAATGCAGAAACTACACATAAATTAATATTTTATTGTATGAAGAGTAAGAAGATGTACGATCAGTTCAAGTTTTTGAGCTGATCGTCTAGTACGATATGATCATCATTCAATACAATTGGTACAATCAAATTAGATTATCATCCTGCACGATTGATGACGATAAATAATCGTTACATGCAAAGATCGGGTCATACAGTACGATTTGTCCAATCGTACGTTACAATTTGTCCAATCATACAGTACGATCTTACTGGACTAATTAATCCAAATTTGATCCATACTTATATGATTAATTTAGGTAAAATTTAATTACATCATACGGTACAATTAATACATGATTTATATTTCAAAATATTGCCTAAATTATGATTGACAGCTAAGACCATGATTTCAACTTATCATCTTGTACGATCAAGATCGTCCAATATGATTAGCTCAAATAGCTTTAATTACACAATTAGTCATTTTAATGATTATTTGATAAGCTGATTGTACAATACAATACATATCGTATAGTATGATTAGTTTAGAAAATTACTCTACCAATTTTTCTCTCTATCTCATTCTCATAAGTGTGTGTGCACGATGACTAGGCTTACATACACCTTTACAGGACTTGACTCAAGAAATTGAAAAATACATAAATGAATTTTACAGACTCTTTCAGCATATCCTATTCTTTCCAATCTTGAGTCCTAAATTTTCATTGAATGGCACATGACGTACCTGAAATATTAGTACACACAAAAGCAAATACATAGTACAAATGCTAGGAGACACAAAGATGCTATAAATAATGTTTATTATCATCAAAACCATAAAATGGGGAGCCCGAGTTGCAATAGGGGCCACTGCTATTTATAGAATGAAAAGTGGATTACCTCCCTTTCATTCTCATGATGAAGAGGCGAATTTATCAAAGATTTTCAACAATTTTTATTATTTACTCCTCTTTTTTGGCCAATATGAGTGGTCCAAAGAGAAAAAGTTATGACATGCGTCGAAGCGTCTGTAGATGCTAATTCATGAAGGGCTTGCATTGTGAAAATTCACTAGATGCAAGCAAGTGCTCTGCATTATTTCCAAGAACATAGCGAATCTGACACCACATCATCCTTCTTTGATCGATCTCATTTCATTACTCCATTTGCAAAAAAAACAAGTATGAAATAAAGGGCAAGTGTGAAAAATTTCCCTCTTTAAGAAATAGTGATCTAAGCCATACTTATGATAGGGACAAGAAAGATAAGACAATAAATTTCATGCTAAAACATTTCCCATGTGCAAAATTGAAGGTTGAATAAAATAAAATAAGAACACCAACATCGTTTGCGCATGTCGTAGATGTGAACCCCTAAGATGCCAATTTGCATAAAAAAAACAAAAATCTTAATTGAAGCTCTTTATATGGGGTGGACAGGTGGTGCATATGATATTCTGAGAAACATTAGTTACACATATCCAGAGTAGTTCAACTTGAAGCTCCAAGTGAAATAATTTTCAGAGTGAACTCTCCTTTGCGAAGGATACTACCCTCATAGAATTATATAAAGAACATTTAATACTTAGGGGTGAGCTACGACCGAGTTTGATTCTATTTTGTGTAACCACACCTAAAGCTGTGCACTTAATAAAATTCTAATTCTTTCTCATTTTTCTTCTTGCTCTTCCTTTAAGACTAGTCTCTCTTCAAATGATCGGATTTTCACTGGTTTTCTCTCTAAATCGATCCAGTTGGTTGCTCCATAACCAAAGTTGGACATCTCATTTCCCTTGCCAACACACAATAGAATTAGAAAATCAAATCATTGTTGTTAGAGAAGAAAATAAAGAAAAAGCCACCCAAGTCTATTTTCTACCACTTCAATTTCAATAGACATTACTCTATTTCTTCTACTATAATTATTCATTAATTTATCTTTTTAATTTTTTCTAAACAATCATCTTAATATTTTCATTTCTGTCGCACTCGACTTATATATGAATGATTTTCTTACAACTCAATATTAGAACCCATGAAACATTATCGACTTTATTGTGGTTGTATTAAATTTTCCTTCAAATCTCCACGATATTTTCTTGTGATATAAAACTTTTAAGGTACTTACTCATTTCAACCATCTAGCTTTAGCATTAGAAATTATATTCTTATTATTTTCATTATTCTGCATAATAGATTCAAACATGGCACATCATAGTGTCAACCTAACTTCCAATAATATTGAATGATTTTTGTTAACATAATACCCAATAAAATTACATATCATATATTCAATTTTTGTTCTACTAATTCTAAGATCTTTTTCTTAACATTTCTTCTATTGTTCTAAATTTTCACTATTTCAATGATCATCTCACTTAATTTAATTGTCTAAGTATAATTGTACAATTGGTAAATGTTGCAATTTCCGTACCTTTAGAAGACAAAGCGAAGTCAATAAGATCACTTAGAAGTTCTAATGTAACACTGAAGGACAAAGTCTCAACACGAGGCTACTATGGAGTGGAAGCATTTCCCATAACATTTCAACATTGCTTCTGAACTTAGTAGAAACATGTCGTCTTTTAGTGCTTTTCAAATAAGAGTATTTATGTATACAACATTCAAGTTTAAGCTTAATTTTTTTTGTAAATCTCCAAAGAATTTATTACATGCAGCCTTTAATAACAAATCTTATTGGTATTCATATCCATTTGTTGGAGCACAAAATATCTCTGCACAAAGAAAAGCTCATATACCACTAGAGAAATAGATGTGTTACAATCCACCAGATTATGCCCATTTTTTAACATTATCATGGTCATTAATAAAACTAAAGAATTTGCAGATCTGCCAAAATTAGGAAGTGGCATTTACGCCTACAATAGGTTGGAGTAGCTCCAGTGGAAGATAAGATTAGAGAGAGTCACCTTAGATGATTTGGTCACATAAAACAATGGCCTTCCGATGATCCGGTTAGGAAAGTAGAGGTATTAGATTTGACTTATGTTAAGAAAGGTAGAGGTAGACCTAAAAAGACTTGGTTAGAAAATATTAGAAATGATCTTTCTTTATTAGATTTAAATGAGAATTGGACTTTTAACAAAACACAATGGAGAAAAAAGATTCATGTAGCCAACCCCACGTAGTGGGACAAAGGCTTGATGTTGTTGGTTGTTGCCTAACAAGATGGGAATGAAAGACTTGTTGAAAGAGCAATGAAGTAGGCCACTACATACTGAATAAATGAATGAAAATACTCTCCTATTTCCTTAATCTTCAAATATTTCTTTACATCAGTAAAAGTTCATACAGAACTGAACGCTTCATCTGTATAAAACTGTTGCTTGTTTCATGTACTATAGGTTGAGTACGAAGTAATGCCTGGTTGGAAATGTGATATCTCTTCAATAAGAAAATATGAGGATCTCCCTCTGGCTGCTCGTCAGTATGTGCAAAGGATTGAAGAGCTTGTTGGCATTCCAGTTCATTACATTGGTGTTGGTCCAGGCCGTGATGCTCTCATATATAAATAGATTTTGTTTTCTTGGTCATATTGTTTTTCTATTGTAACCTCTGATAATTGACCATTGTCGACAGAAATAACTTGGTTTTCTGTTACAGAAGTTTTGAATAAATTTCTTTTTGCAGTAATATTATCGTTGCTGCCATAGTCT